TACACAAAGAAATGTATATATTGATTAGGATTGGGCCACAGACTAGATTAGTTCGGTTGAACTACTTCTGTGGTCCACACCAAGAAATACTACTAATTATTATTATTATTATTCAAAGAATACTAGAATTGATATTCTTGGTGAAATAAAATCATATCATATCATGTTACTGTGACGCTTGGACACCCACCTGTGATGCTTGCCCTCTGTCCGTGACACTTGAAATGTACCATTCTTGTCTTGCCAAAAATTAAAACAATAACATGCATTGATCGAGACAGTATAAAAACGGATGTCCAAGTTACCAAGTCTTTCAGGGGTGAGGCACCTCTAAATCTGAAAACAACTATATATACTAAAGTAATAATTCACCCCTTAATGGCAACAATGTGACAAAAACAAATGAAAAGAATTCGCACACTAGATATTTAGTGACCATACATGTATATAGTCATGTGACCTCATTCAAAAATCTGTAGCACTATTGCAGATAGACATTGAATCTGTGCATTGTTGAATATATTCAACACTAGGTCTGACCAACCTATTTAATGACCATATATGGTCATGTAAATGCAAAAATATAACATTTTGGATATCAGTTGGGAATTTATTGCTGAAGCCAGTTTGGTGGCAAATGTAAACCTTTCCAGTGCATGATAGAAGACCTTACGCAGACTTAAAATGGATAACTGATGTTAAAATTGTACATAAATTGGAGAATGTTATACTAAATATCTTATTTTAGTAGCTGACTAGACAACAAAAATAAACTAAAATAAATTTTCTAATTTTTTTTTCAATTCTCCTTGTAGATTTGTTGAAAACAAAACCTGCAGGTTGTGTGGAACAGCTGATCCAGAACTGTCCTAGAGTAGTGTGAGGCAGAATGTCAAGATATGGCAAGAATGAAAAGAAACGAGTCATTTGCCCAGTGTGTCAGAAAACATTTTCAAATGACCACAGTCTTGCTCGACATCATCTAATACACACTGGTGAAAAACCATTTGCATGTCCATATTGTGATCTCAGATTCACCCAGAAGTGTAATATGAAGCAACACTGTTTGAAGCTCCATCACGGAAAACAAAAAGCCAAAAAGAAAAGTAACCAACGATTGAAAACAGGCAACCTCAATAGTGAGAAAGCATATACCTGTGAACATTGTTTGAAGGCATTCACTAGAAAACACTCACTGGGTAGACATATGAAATGTATTCATACTAAGTCTCAAGATAAACCATATCAGTGTGAAAAGTGTTCAAAATTATTCACTCAAAAACGAAACCTAGCTAGGCATATACGATCTATGCATACCAAGTTTCATAATGAAGTCTCTACAAATCAAAACAAATCTGAAGATGGAATCTCGTCCTTAAAACATGGTGTGAGTGTTTATACAGAAAAACCTATAAAAGGTAACAATTTAATCAATGAGAAACCATATAGTTGTAAACAGTGTTTGAAATCTTTCAGTCGGAAACGATACTTATGTAAGCATGAAAAACTTGTCCATCAAAAACATGCAACTTTCCGAGATGACAGACCTTCATTCAGTCGAAAACGATACTCATATAAGAATGAAAAACGTGTTCATAAAAAACCAGCTCCTTCACAAGGTGGTAGATCTTCAGTCTGTATTAAAACAACAAATTGGGTGGGGTATGCAGATAAAAAAACTGGAATGATGCAATACAAGTGTAAACACTGCAGTGAAACGTTTAAACAGGAGATCAGTGTAAAGAGACATTCCCTTGTTCATTTCAAAGAAAAAGATGTCCCTTTTAAATGTGATATTTGCAAATCGCTGTTTTTGTTCAAATCAGATTATGAGAGGCATATGCGGCATCATCCTAATGTAGAGCGAAACCAACAGGGTGAGAATTTAAAAAATATGGTGCCTCGGAAGAAAACAAACCAATACAACTGTCGTGTGTGCTCAAAATCATTTATTGATATGAAAAGCCTATTTGTTCATTCAAAGAAACATGGAAGCTTGAAAAAATCAAAGTATGCTTGCAAGAAATGCAATCGATCTTTCAAACTCAAAACATCTTTGTTGGCGCACTCTTTAGTTCATAGAAGCAAGAACCCAAATCACTGTAAAAAATGTGAGAAGACATTTACAAGTAAGAATCACCTGAAAAGGCATGCTATGTTACACACTGGTGAACGGCCATACCAATGTGATCATTGTGGAAAGAAGTTTATAGAAAACTGCCAACTCACAAAACATTTACAACAACATACTAAGGAACGACCACATAAATGTGATCACTGCCACCAGACATTTACATGCAATTCTGATTTGACAGTGCATGTGAGGATCCATACTGGTGAAAAACCTTACAAATGTCATCACTGTCCCAAGGAATATGGTACACCTTGCTTGTTGACATCACATCTGCAATTGCACACAGTGGAAAGACCTTATAAATGTGTTTATTGCCAACAGACATGTACTTGCAGTGGTGATTTGGAAGTACATATGAAAACCCATGCAAAGAATAGTAGAGGAAAACTCAAAGGCAAACGCTCATCAGTCAATTCAAAAGTGTGTTCTCAAGAAAAATTGTATAAATGCAGGCACTGCAATAAGGTGTATACACAACGTAGAGACATGATTTTACATAGAAGAACTCACCTTGGCGAATGTGTTTACAAATGTCATCAGTGTGAGAAGGTATACACACAAAAGGGCCACTTGAACAGGCATTCGGTGATTCATAAACAAAAACGACTATATAAATGTAAGCACTGTGGAAAGACGTGTAGAAGCAGTGACTTATGTGCAGTGCATATGATAACATGTGCAAAAAAACTTGAAGAGGATCATGGTGGGAAACAGTCAAATATTAATGAGGAATGCAAGAAAACAACTTTGGCTCAGAGCACTTCTGCTAAAAGTGAGATCTCATCAAAAAAATCATTACCCAGTCAATCAGTATTTAACTGCAAGCATTGTGGGAAAAGTTGTACCTCCAATCACAGTCTGAATAGACATTTGCATAATGTGCACAAACAAATCAGCATTGAGAACCCCTCTCCAGTTGCATTGCAAAATCCAATTTACTGTGGTTTTTGTGAATTTACCACCCATTTTATTATTGAAATGACTAACCACTACAATAAAAAACACTCAGCACGCACAGTTAAACGTAAGCTTAACACTGAAAAACTGGAAAATATCTCACAAGGTCTGGTTGAAAATCTAAATAAAAAAGATGGAAGTGTGGAGGAGTCTCAAAAGATCATCTGCCATTTTTGTGAGTTTTCGTCAGACTCTCCTCAGGCACTTGCACATCATTTGAATGAAAAACATTTCACCCATAATGGCTCAGAAAAAGATCTCTCCCAAGATCTAGATGAACAGCAAGATCAAAATAATGTACATATAAATGATGATGGAACAGATGAAGCTGCACCAGTGGAAGACACTTTGGTTGACAACATACAAAACATCTCTTCTTCGAATCAGGTACGGCCACCCCAAAAAGTTATTTATTGCAGTTTTTGCCAATTTTCAACAGATTCGGCTCCTTCTTTGGCACATCATTTCAATGAACAACATTCTTCTTATGATGTTGGATACAAAGGTATTAGAGGATCTGTCACAGATGAAGCTGTCAATGTTGGTGAAGATGTATTTGAATCTGTTGTGGAACTTTCTGAAACTGGTAATAAGGGGGAGTCTGATGAAGAAGAAGGTATTGAAGAATCTTCCATGGAAGAGGGATATCACAGTGATATGCATGTATCTGATGAAACATTTGAAATTCTACATTTACAACCAGACAACATCATAGAAGACAACAAATCAATGAATGATTCTGAAGTGGAACATTCATCTGATGGGGAAGACGACATAGAAAAAACATCAATGGAAGAGAAGCATCTCAGCGAAATGTCTACCAGAACAACATCTGACAATGTCCATGCAATTGATCATTCACATCTTGGCAATGTGAATGAGCAAATTCCTGTAGTAGAGGATGACATGCAATTGAACAATGCTAAAATGAAACATTCATCTGATGGGGAAGAAGGCATAGAAGAAACATCAATGGAAGAGAAGCATCTCAGCGAAATATCCCCCAGCACAACATCTGACAAAGTCCATGCATTTGATCATTCACATCTTGGCAATGTGAATGAGCAAGTTCCTGATGAAAATGACGCTAATGCACAACTCTGAAATGAACATTCTGTGGATTCAGAAAGGAATAGAGTTTGTCAAGGAGGACGATGTAGGAGAAACATTAATGGCTTTGATCTAAAAAATCTTAATTTTAATGTAAATTCAAATCATGAACGTTCCAAACTTGTTACCTTGCACAGCTTCATTCAGTTTCTGAATAGAGGGATTTGCTGCAGAGGACACATTGTCAGACAATGAATGCCAATATAATCTTGTAAATTGAGAAAGGAAATGCAAGATTTGAGTGGTGGAGGTTCTAGCAAAACAGCAACATGTAAACTCTTGCCACCTATATTCCTAATATGCTATGCAGTCAATACTAATTCAGTGTTCACATATACTTTATTTTTAGAAACGTTTTAGAATTGGTAGGTAGGGCATACATTCGGAATTTGAGTATAATCTATATATCAAACAATTAATTATGTTTATTATCTTATGTGATGGTGTGACATGTTTAGGGACAGGTGTTCTTAGAAACCCGTTGTTGATGAGTTGCTGATGCAATAATTGCAGTACGTTAGTGATGCACTTCTAATAGAGTAAATATGCAACTGTGAACACTTTTGAGTTGCTTTGTTTAGTACGGGTGTATATGAAACTTTTTTAAAACAGAATTTGGTACTTTTATAATGTGTCTTTCAACCCCAGCGGGGTGTTATGCAAATATTTCTTTTGATTGGTTGATTAATATCAGTTTACTTTTCATTTTTTGATGTTCAAGACATTTTTTAGGATTGTAGTACTAGTATTTATGTAAACTAATTAATTAATTTTTAATTTGAACATTTCTCAAAACATGGAGCATTGTATAAATGTAGGGGATAAAGGAAGTTTGTAGGGTAGTTACCGAAAGTTTTGCAAACAACCCCTAGTGTGAAGTTATTTTGGTTATTCATTCTTTAATCTGCAATGTGTTAAGCTAACGAATGGTATTCAAAATTCATACCCAAGAGATGTTTTTGGTGCTATAAAAATGCTAATTATACAACATTTTGTTTCAATTATCTACTGTGACCGAACACCCAGCAACACTGCCCCCTGACCATGATTCCTTAATATGTTAAGGAGAATCAGACCGATTTGAAGACTATATCTTGAGAAAAATAATTTGCATTTTTGGATGAATTCCCATGATAAAAATTATATCTTCAAATTGAAATTATGCTTGGTGGAATGGAATGAAATTCTATGAAATGTATATCATTATTGATATGAATTCCAATATTAGTACATTTCAAAATAATATAATTTAGTAACTTTCAAGTGTGATAATATTTTGCCATTGCAGACAATGTAAAGTTAACTCCCAATGCATTGCACCTTTGTGCAGTGACATGTTTAGTTGTGCACAATTTGGGTTGAACATGCCTTAAGGAATAAAAAACATTCTTGTTCTCATTACTCCCAGCTTGTACATTGATATGGCGATTGTTACAATTTTATAGAAAGTTGTAATTAAAAATATCCTTTGAACAGCAGATTGTTGGCCCCCTATCATTTCTTTGTTTTATTTGTAGACCAGATAATGGTTTATGTTGTGAAATTTTTTTTTCAAAAGTTGGTTTTAGTGCTCAGAGTCAAAAGGTTGAAGTTCACAGTCGTTGAATTTTGTCATGTTTGATGGGCTGGTGTTCATGATTTATTAAGCATGACGAATGTGATCTTTAAATTTGTCAATTTGTTTAATGTAATGTAGATGTATTGTACATTGTATCTCAACTATTATGCACAATAATTTATAACATTGTATTTAGTACCCAAATAATTGTCATAGAAATAGTGCACCTAATCTGATAACATGTCTGGTCAGTTTGTGCAGTCGCCTCTAACTACATCTGACCGACTACTTGATTTTGGCAACCAATCAGAAACTGTGTACATGCCATTTTCTGCATTGCCAGGGAAAGACTTTCGAAAGACTTGCTGTAATTGGTCAATATGTCAGGTCTAAGGAAAAGTGCCCGAACGCGGTTTGCGTCTTGCTGGTCAGACATTATTAGAAGCGATATTCACCTTGGACCTTATACGTATAAAGCGCCCTTCATCCCATTTCCCTTTAATCTTTTGTCAGTGTTTTTTTGCTGTGCCTGTTTCTTTTGTCACTTTGTTATTCAAATCTATGACAATCATCTCTGGGCTTTTATAGTTGTATGCAAATGTTAGTATGTGTTGTAGGTACATGTTTAGAGTATCAACATGTAGACAATGTTTTTATGTGATTATGTTAGTAAGACTTTTGTTTTAATAAAATTATTCTTTGAATTAAGTTCAATTTTGTGTTAAAATTGTATTTTAACAAACTGTCCGATCTACTAATAATCTTGGAAGTGGTCAGTTGTTCATATATCAGGGGTCATCGAAGTGAATAATTATCGCATACACAGCGAACATAATCTTTCAGTTTAACAACCCTTAATTGAATGTTTGCAAGTTAAAATAACTGCAATTTTTGTAATTGAACAGCAATTGAAAGGAAGGTTCCTCTTCAAACTTTGTTCCAGATGGCTGCCCCATATAGTAAATATCGACAAATTAGTTTTTCATTTGGTTGAACTTTGACCGATCATCTTTGTCCAAAAAAAAAAACTCATCAAAAAATCAATCAATTTGAACTTAGCATCAACCGTTTCTCAGGGATGCCTTGACTAATATCATTGAAATCACTGATGGCAGGTTACTGATGCACATCGGTTTTGCTCAGTTTTGTGACTTGATTCAAAATAGCTTACTTACAGCCATGTTGGTGTTATTTCTTGTTAGCTGTACATTTTAAAATCGTTATGACAACTCTCTGGGAGATTCGCAATTAGTTAGATACAGTGAGGTGTCTACTATACTTAAGCCTATAATCATATAAATGCATTTGGATCATTGTGTGTGCAAAACGTACAATGTGTTCATTATACGACGAGTAAGCTGTAAATACCGATTATCAACTTCATTCATATTCAAATAGCGATTGGCTCAATTTACATCTATAATGCATACGTATTCCTTCACATGACAGAGTAACTACAAGTGCCCGCTCAGTACAATACTTTCTGGATTGTTCAATTTCAATCCTATCGGCCATTATGATTTATAGTGTTCCCCGCTTTCTAACATATAACTGAACATACATGTTTTAGTTGTATGTTTATATGGCACGAGACTAAAACAATTACTAATCATTGACTATTATAATGGAATATACTTTAATTAAGTTAACATTACCTGGTATTATCAGTATATTTCTGAAATGGGTAAAAATAAAATATATGGCCCTGAGAGTGAAATGAAAATTTCAATTGTAAGTGTGTAATAAATGATTGAAATATTGCATAACATTTCCACAGTCAAAATGATACAAATCACAAAGTCGTTTCTATTTGAAGGAGTTCAGTTGTGTTTCTTATGAGGGAACGCTTTGCGTTAGTAATCCATAGTCTGTGTACACAATGCTTATCCTTGTAGGCTTTCTCTGCAATATCACAAAGCTTGTGTTTCTCGGCCCTACCAGTTTGTGCAACCATTTGTGACAAATATCCAGAAGGATTTTGCAGTAGTAAATGTGGTTCATCAAATTCGGCTATTCTTCCATCACTCATAACTAATATTCGATCAGAGTCCATAACAGTGTTCAACCGATGTGCTATTGTTAGTAGCGTGCAGTGTTGGAATCTTGTACGAATTGTCTGCTGTATAATAGCATCAGTCCTAAAAAAAGAAACAATTGTCTTTGACATCCAGTGCAAAAATTCCCTGTCATTATGTTTCGCTGTCTCGTATATCATGTATGTTCATCTACATATTCATGTTTCTCCTTTTGGTGCATTCTGTAAATCACCATTGTCGTCAGTGAACTCACATTAACATCCCAACAATAACTCATTAGCAACACAAACAAGTATTTTAGTAAAGTAGTGTTGATGCTCACGTTTTGTCAACATTAGCTGTCGCTTCATCTATAATGAGGATTTTATTATTACGTAGTATAGCTCTTGCCAAACACACCAACTGCCTCTGTCCTGCACTTAAATTTGATCCTGATTCTGACAATTCGCCATCAAGTCCACCCATTATTTCCACTGCATTTCGCAATTGTACCTTATAAAATAAAAAAAAACGAAAACATGAATTAAATATCTGAAAATAAACGAACACGTCACATTTGTTTTATAGAAAATTAAATATATTAATGTTATGATATCCACCAATTGATTTATACTCAGTAAATATTCAAATAAATATTACAGTAAATATTACCTGTTCAAGCGACTTCCAAAGTTCATCATCTGTGTATTCAGAGAACATATCCAAGTTTTTACGCAGTGAACCTCTAAACAAGACAGGGTCCTAAAGCATACATATTTGAAATGTTAATCAATAATGTATCATTATTAGTAAGTATTAGTTAATACATTTACATATTTTAAAACAAACATAATGTAAAATATCGGTATTTACATATGTAGGGGTGTACGTTTATTGCACGTTTATTGTACGTTTACTGCCTATGAACATATGTGATTATATTCAGGTTAGTTACGAAGTAATTATAAATAGAACAATTACTCGGATTGTGCAAAACAAATGGGAAGTGTATTTTCAATAGTAAGCAAGACGTGTGTTTTAGTATAACGAATGTGACGGAGTTTATTATTGGGGACAATAATATTATGTTATAGCATAGATTGTGAAAAATGTCTATAATAAATCTGTATTACTT